TGGAATGCAGTGCCATGATCTCGGCTCACTGTAACCTCCTCCTCCTGGGTTAAAGTGATTCTCCTGCCTCAGCCTTCCGAGTAGCTGGGATTACAGGCACTTGCCATCATGCCTGGCTAATTTTTGGTATTTTTAATAGAGACAGAGTTTCACCGTGTTGATCATGCTGGTCTTGAACTCTTTTTTTTTTTTTTTTTTTTGAGACGAAGTTTCACTCTTGTTACCCGGGCTGGAGTGCAATGGTGTGATCTTGGCTCACCGCAACCTCTGCCTCCTGGGTTCAGGCAATTCTCCTGCCTCAGCCTCCTGAGTAGCTGGAATTACAGGCATGTGCCACCATGCCCAGCTAATTTTTTGTATTTTTAGTAGAGACGGAGTTTCACCATGTTGACCAGGATGGTCTTGATCTCTTGACCTCGTGATCCACCCGCCTCGGCCTCCCAAAGTGCTGGGATTACAGGCCTGAGCCACCGTGCCCGGCGGTCTTGAACTCTTAACCTCAAGTTGTCCAGCTGCCTTGGCTTCCTAAAGTGCTGGGATTACAGGCCTGAGCCACCGTGCCCGGCGGTCTTGAACTCTTAACCTCAAGTTGTCCAGCTGCCTTGGCTTCCTAAAGTGCTGGGATTACAGGCATGAGCCACCGCACCCGGACTATGTTGTGTGATATTTATATGGCCACCCCCGCTTTCTTGGTTATCTTTTACATGGGATGTCTTCTTCCATCCTTTCATTTTCAAACCTATTTGCATCTTTGGATCTAAAGTGAGTGTCTTGCAGATAACAGAGTTCGATCATGTTATTTTTAATCCATTTACGTTTAAAGTAATATCTGATAAGGATTTCTGCTATTTTGCTGTTTTTTCCTTTTTTCTCTCAATTCTTCTATTACTGTCTTCATTTGTGATTTATTTTTCCTTTTTTTTTTTTTTTTTTTGGTTTTGAGATAGGGTCTTAACTGTCACCCAGGCTGGAGTGCCGTGGTGCAATTTCTGCCTCCCAGGTTCAAGCAGTGCTTGTGCCTCAGCTTCTCAAATCGCTGAGACTACAGGCTTATGCCACCATGCCTGGCTAATTTTTTGGTAGACATGAGGTCTCACCATGTTGGCCAGGCTGATCTCGAACTTCTGACCTCAAATGATCCGGCCACCTTGACCCCCAAAGTGCTGGGATTACAGGTGTGAGCCACTGTGCCTGGCCTATTTTTTCTGATATATTGTTTTATTACCCTTCTCATTTCTCTTTCAGTATTTCGTTTGTTTGTTTTTTCTTAGTGGTTACCCTGGGGATTACAATTAACATCTTAGCTTTTTTTTTTTAAATTTTGAGACAGAGTCTCGCTCTTGTTGCCCAGGCTAGAGTGCAGTGGCATGATCTCGGCTCACCGAAACCTCTGCCTCCTGAGTTCAAGGGATTCTCCTGCCTTAGCCTCTCGAGTAGCCGGGATTACAGGCACCCGCCACCACGCCCGGCTAATTTTTGTGTGTTTTTAGTAGAGACGGGGTTTCACCATGTTCGCTGGGATGGTCTTGATCTCCTGACCTTGTGATCCGCCCTCTTTGGCCTCCCAAAGTGCTGAGATTACAGGTGTGAGCCAGCATGCCCAGCACAACATCTTAGGTTTTTAACAATCATGTTTGAATTAATACCAGCTTAGTTTCAGTAGTATGCATAACTCTGCTCCTTTGCAGCTCCATCTTGGTATGTAACATCTTTACATATTAAATATATGCCCATTAACCTAGAATTGAAATTTTTGCTTTATCCATTTGTCTTTTAAATTATGTAGGAAAGAAAAGGAGAACTTACAAACAAAAACTGTAATACTACTGACTTCTATATTTATCTATGTAGCTACCTTTACATTGCTCTTTATTTCTTCATATGACTTCAAATTACTGTCCAGTGTTTTTTTATTTTAGTTTGGAGGATTCTCTTTAGCATTTCTTATAGCACAGGTCTAGTAGTGATGAATTCCTTTACTTTTTGTTTATTTGGGAATATCTTAAGTTCTCCTTCATTTTCGAAGGGCACTTTTCCTAATGTGGAATTCTTGGTTGGCTCTTTTTTTTTCCGCATCAGATTCTATCCCCTCCCCAGACCGTATTGCTGCTTATTGTGAGTGGTTATTGTTTGCTTGTTTAGTGACTTTTCTAAACTGTTTTTGTAAGGTCTATAATTCCTGGTCATGTGTGGCCACTGAAGTCTGTTTCATTTGCTTAGTAATCAGCTATCTAGTGTTTTGACAGAGTTTCCTTAAACACTTGGAGTCATCAACAACAACAAAAATCTCTCCTATCTTTGAAGATGGCTTTATGGCTTTATGGTCAAAGTACTCTTTGACCACTTAATGAAGCCATTTATAATTCTGCCTTAGCCTTTGCTTACTGTTTGCTCAAAGCCTGAAGATCAGCCAGGGTCAAAGCATAGGTCTTCTTGGGCCTTTCTTGGGCCTTTCCTGATTTTGTGTCCAGCCCTGGCCATGTGCACGTCCTTCTTGATTGGTAGACACATCCTTATTACCCCATATATATCTTTTCCCATCCCCTTTCCATCCAGGCTTTTCTGTCTGCCTGTTCCTTGTCCCAGTTGTTGTCCCTTGCCCCAGACTTCTGTATCAATTAAATAATTTTGGCAAAAACCACTCAGGAAGACTCCCTATCCCCTGGGAATGATCCAAGTCAGGCAAAGCCAAGGCAAGCCATTGCTCAGATCCTTAGGGAGCTGCCAGACAAGTAGAAACTAAAATCACAGTTATTTAAGATGTGTGTTGCTTCCTCTGGCATTAGGAGTGCAGGTTACTATCCACATAGCCATCACTGACTTGGGGTATGGGGAATAGTGAGCAGGCAATTTAGGATTCTATAGCACTCTGTTTACTACAAAACAGCAACTCCTTTATTCACTAAGCCTTGCCCTAGATTTTATTTATTTATTTCTAGATTCCAGAGTTCTGCAAAAGTTGAGTCTGACAGTATTTACCAGCTCATTAATTGCGTTAATTGCTTTTTGCAGGGACAGTGCCTTGGAGTTCCCTACTCTGCCATTTTTGGTGGTATCATCCCAAATGTGGGAATTTCTCAGAAGGTTATGATTAACCAAAAGTAAAAAAATTAGGAAGGAGGAAGTTGATTTATGGGTATAGAATATATTATTTTTATTTGGATATGAGTGTTGGGTTTGAGGTACTGATGGCACAATCTGTGGATGTCTAGTGACACCGGAATTGTAGTGTCTGAATTCCAGAAAGGTGTTAGAGCAAAGAGATCTGGGAACCTTCTGCACAGAAATTATAGAAAATGAAAGTGTATAATTTCCTTGGAATAGAGAAGAAGGTCAAGTATGGCATCTTGCAAAACACTTTCAACTAAGGATTTATTCATTTATTCATTTAGCAAACATTCCTTTGTTCCTATTACTGATGCATGTACTACTAAGCATTGGAGATAGAAAGGAATAAGATCTAGTTTTCTGCCCTCAGGAAGTTCATTTATACTTATATTAAGGAAGATAATTAAAGAAGCACAATGCAATGTCATAATAACAAGGTTAAAGGAGTCCAGACAGGGGCAAACGAGAATAGGTAATCAGGTCAGAAAAGAAAATAATAAATTTAGGGGAGTCAAAGAAGGAGAAAACATAATGGAGAGAGTGGGTTGTAATCTTGGTTGCTGCATAGAGAGTTCGAAAAGGCTGAGGACTCTGAAAGTTACTGATTTGGCTGTAAGGAGAGATGACATAAGAATGATTTTGGTTTTAATTGAGTAGTTTTGATAGAATGTTGCAGACAAAGGATCAGATTATAAAGAGTTAGGAGTGTGAGTGGTGAAAAAGTTGAGGGAAAAGAGAAAGACAGCTGTTAAAAGAGTGGTGTAGTTTATTCTATGGGAAAATTGGACAATTAGAGAAAAAATAAATTACCAAAATGTTACAGTTTAAAAGTTGAAGCAGAGTTAAAGTAAGTTCATTTTGGAGTTGAAAAGATTAGAGTGTGTTTTTAGACAATTGAAGGGGCTGAATAGGAAGGAAAACAAGGATGTTGAGTCCCAAAAGAGTCATGAAAGATACTATTAAGATCTTAGAAGAATCAGATCTTAGAAGATTTGGAGACTAGAGTGAAGAACGAGAGTGAGGATAATGAGAGTTTTGAGACAAAAGAAATTTGAGAAGTTTTACCTAGTGAAGCCTCTGTTTTCTAGGTAAAGTAGAACATAAAATTACACACTAAGACTTGGGCAGCAGTGAAAATGCCTGACAGAAGTTGATATGTTGATAGTACCATTTGATGATTTTGTCATTTCTTTCAACACACAGTATTAAGCATATACTGTGTGCTAAGCACTGTATGAAATCCTTGGGATTTTATCTGTAAACAAACAAAAATCCTTGCCCTTGTGGAGGTTACATGTGACTAGGGTAAGGGGAGAGAAACAAGTAAATAATATTTTTAAATAAACATATGAGGTAAATGGAGCTACCTGGGTCTGGGAACCAAGAAAGCAAATGGGAAGATAAGCCAGACATAACTGCAATTTTATATTGCATATCATATTCTAATTTAAGGTGGAAATAATTTTATTTCTATACAGCTCATTGTAAAATCTAGCTTGTTTAAACTAAGACAAGAAGAGTATGAGTATTTTGGAGCCTTTGTGTACTTAGATTGTGGCTATGAGAGAAATAATCTATATTTACATTTAAGAGAAAATTCATTAATTTAGGACAACTTTATAATTGTTATATAGTTATTTCAGGGCCTTTGACGAGAAAATATAAGGTGAACTGTCATAATAACTGAAATTAAATATTTATTTGTTTAACAAAAAGAGTATTTGTATCTCATTTCCAAAAAGATGATTTAACCACATACAGATTTGTTATGTTTAAAAGTTTAAATTAAAGTCTATATGGAGTTGAAAATCCCTTTGTAATTATGAATTTTTTTTTTTTTTTTGGGTGATTGTTTTATATTCTCTTCTCATGGTACTGTTTGATTTAAACAGGCATTGGAAAAGTGAAAAGAAAACCTAGTGTGCCAGATTCTGCATCTCCTGCTGATGATAGTTTTGTTGATCCAGGGGAACGTCTCTATGACCTCAACATGCCCGCTTATGTGAAATTTAACTACATGGCTGAGAGAGAGGATGAATTATCATTGATAAAGGGGACAAAGGTGATCGTCATGGAGAAATGCAGTGATGGGTGGTGGCGCGGTAGCTACAATGGACAAGTTGGATGGTTCCCTTCAAACTATGTAACTGAAGAAAGTGACAGTCCTTTGGGTGACCATGTGGGTTCTCTGTCAGAGAAATTAGCAGCAGTCGTCAATAACCTAAATACTGGGCAAGTGTTGCATGTGGTACAGGCTCTTTACCCATTCAGCTCATCTAATGATGAAGAACTTAATTTTGAGAAAGGAGATATAATGGATGTTATTGAAAAACCTGAAAATGACCCAGAGTGGTGGAAATGCAGGAAGATCAATGGTATGGTTGGTCTAGTACCAAAAAACTATGTTACCATTATGCAGAATAATCTGTTAACCTCAGGTTTGGAACCATCACCTCCACAGTGTGATTACATTAGGCCTTCACTCACTGGAAAGTTTGCTGGCAATCCTTGGTATTATGGCAAAGTCACCAGGCATCAAGCAGAAATGGCATTAAATGAGAGAGGACATGAAGGGGATTTCCTCATTCGTGATAGTGAATCTTCGGTAAGTTGATTTTCAGAGGCAAATACAAATAGAGCTCTGGGTATTTAAAGAAAGAGAAATGGGGAGGTTAAGTGGCTTCCCTAAAGTTAACCAGGTAACAAGCTGGGACATAACATAAGCGTAAATGTTTCAAAGTTAAAGTTAGCATTCTTTCTAGCTATATATTCTGAATAAAAGAGAGCTGTGGCAGTGATGCTGCACACTGGATTATTTGGTCTTGTCTAGTTCTGTTGATTTTGCATTCCTGAGATATTTTCTGTTGCATTAAACTAAATGGACAAAATGGAACATTGGCTTCTTCATTGAGAATAGAATAATACTATAGATTAAATTAGGAAACATTAAAAAATTGCTATTGGATGAATGTGTAAGAAGATAGTCACTGTAGTCCTTATGACATTGGAAATCCCTGAATTAAGAAAAATTGATACTACGTTTCTTCATAAATTGGTTACTTGGAAGTTGGAATACACCTTTATTTTATTATTATTTATTTTTTTTGGAGTGCAATAGCACAATCTTGACTCACTACAACCTCTGCCTCCCAGGTTCAAGGATTCTCCTGCCTCAGCCTCCTGAGTAGCTGGGATTGCAGGCACACGCCACCACACCCGGCTAATGTTTATATTTTTAGTAGAGATGGGGTCTCCCCAAGTTGGTCAGGCTGGTCTTGAACTCCTGACTTGTGATCTACCCGCCTCAGCCTCCCAAAATGCTGATAATACAGGTGTGAGCCACTGCGCCAGGCTGGAATACACTTCTATAATAACCTCAAAAACCTATTTTAATGCTGTGTTTGAAATGCATTTGTGAAAAAAAAAAGAAAAAAAAAAGAAATGCATGTGTTGAGTCCCAAAAGAGTCATTATATTGCAATGCTAGTAAACAGTAAAACTATAAAACCATAAAAATTGAAAAATAATATGGTTTTGTGGTCTCTTTTAGATACTGTGTAGGCTATTAGAATTTGATGACACTCATTTTCCTTAAAAATGGCATTTTTCCTTGATAAAAGATAACACTACTTTTCCACGTATTAAATCATTATTAATCTTGGCTTTGTGTGAGTATATTTGTACAAAAGTGAATGTGTAATTGCACCAAATGTTGAAAGAAAGAAAATGTGTGGAGGTGGGGTGTGGTTGGGAGAGAGATTAATTCAACTTCCTGATGTGAATTTCTGGAAAATGGGACCTGTACCTAATCCCTCAGAAAAGCAGTTGGTTGGTAGTAAGGAAGAGTGATGACATCCATTTTGTTAGATGTTTGATCTGGCTCACTGTTTGAAACTTAGGGAGTAATTGTAGAAAAAGAGGCTTTGGGGATTGATATAGACTATAACAAAAAACATATACCAAATTTAAAAGAAAGTAGCTTGAATGCAGAATTGTGTGTATTTGCTTGTGGGTAATTGAGCATAGATATTAGACAAAAATACAATATGTACCATTATTTGTAACAGTATACTTTTTAAGGTTAGCGGTCTCAAGTAGGCATATTTTGCTTAGCCTTTACAATGTTTTTTAAACATTTAAATTTACTGCTAATATTTAAATATTAGGATATTTATTTTAAAAATTCAGGCTTTAGACTTATTTATTATAAAAATTTAGACCATTTAAAATTGGAAGGACTACCAACATTGAGATCCTGTTCCTTCAAGGCAACAATCACAGCTGATAAGTCACCACTTTCTTTAGATTGGGCGCGGGGAAAAGAATACATTATTCTTTTGGCTCTTCTTGTAGGCATTTGAGTTTGTGGCCTCTCCTTAAAGTTTAGATTAATTCTCATTTGTGTGTTTCTCATTGTTGAGAAATCAGCCTGTTATCCTGAAGACAGATACCGTTAGTCACACATTGAAAAGGGGTTGGGTGGATATCTTAGACTTTCTCATGTGTTTCTCCAGTAGTCAGGAGAGAAGGATAGCTCTTGTTCTTCAAATATTTAACTAAAGGAGGATTTGCTGTGAGTGTCTGCTGTTGGAGACGTGAGTGTTAAGAGACTTTTGATTATGCAGGTTTGAATCCTGGCTCTGTTGTTAACTAGATGGATGATACTGGCCAAGTTATTAATAGCTTCTCTGAGACTCAGTTTTCTCATCTGTAAAAAGAGTTTGTTTTGAGGAGTGAAAGAGATAATCTATGTAAATAAGTTATCATGGTGCCTAGAACTTAGTAAGTGCTTAAGTTTTAGCTTTTAGTTTAATATAAAATTACTGGTAGATGGCTTTCAGATGTTTACTATATGTATTTTTTTTTCTCTTTTAGCCAAATGATTTCTCAGTATCACTAAAAGCACAAGGGAAAAACAAGCATTTTAAAGTCCAACTAAAAGAAACTGTCTACTGCATTGGGCAGCGCAAATTCAGCACCATGGAAGAACTTGTAGAACATTACAAAAAGGCACCAATTTTTACAAGTGAACAAGGAGAAAAATTATATCTTGTCAAGCATTTATCATGATACTGCTGACCAGAAGTGACTGCCGCATAGCTGTAATTTAACGTGTAATTGAAGACTGAGAAAATGTTGAGTCCAGTTGTGCTTGATTGGAAATTGCTGTTTCTAACTCATATGAGAATGACTATAATAATATTTTTATTATAACTCAGCCCATACATATATACTATGTATGCAGTGCATCTGCATAAAACAATTCCTTATCCTTGGTCTTCTGTTTTGTTTTCTTCTTTGCTGTTTTGGCTTTGCTTCTAATATTACTGTTTTGTATTTTGGAAAAAAAAAAATCAAATAATGCAGATCAGAATCTTTATATGGAAGAAATCCTTTATTGCCTTTCTTTTATTTCCTTGTAAAGGCACCCTGTTAGTTCTGTTATGATCTCTCTTTATATAAAATTATTATATCTATATATGACATATGCTAAAATAAATTTCTTGGAGAGTTAATCTTTTCTGTGACTAAATAGCAATAATAAATGGAAAATTAGAAATTATTTCCAGGTATTATATTTGTCACAGGCCATTGTAACCAAGTATATTGTGTCTGCCATGATTTTTAAAAATTCATTATCTTCAGTCATAGAGCAAGACACATGAGACATAGGTTAGAAAACATGTTGTACAATTTTAATTTACAACTGTTAGAAACAAAAATCACTAAAGTCTTCATTTTTTTTTTCCAGTGCTTCTCCCTCATCTGATTATTCAAGAAAACAAAACAATCTCTGAGATACTTAGCTTTTCTTCTTTACTTTTTTATTTATTTATTTATTTATTTTGAGATAGGTTCTTACTCTGTTGCCAGGCTGGAGTGCAGTGGCGCCATCTTTGCTCACTGAATCCCTGGTTCAAGCGATTCTCCTGCTTCAGCTTCCTGAGTAGTTGGGATTACTTGGATTACTGGTGTGTGCCATCATACCCAGCTAATTTTTGTATTTTTGGTAGAGATGAGGTTTCACCATGTTGGCCAGGATGCTCTTGATATCTTGACCTCATGATTTGCCCCTCAGCCTCCCAAAGGTGCTGGGATTACAGGCGTGAGCCACCATGCCCGGCCTAGCTTTTCAAACTGTAAATAGATGCTCTAGTGTTATATTTTTTTTCTTTATCCCTCTTGTATTATTTTAGCAAAGCATCTTGTATTAGGACATGTTATATTTATGTCAATGTGAAATAAGTTACAGCCAAGTTTTGCAAAAATAGGAAACAGTGAGATACGTGGTTTTTTTCTCCTCACTAAATATCAGTAATTGTCAGGAATAGTATTACCTATTTTCATTTCCTCTTCAGCTTTGAGTTTTGTTATCTGGACACTAAAACTGATGTATACCTGAGAGGAAAAAATAAAATGTGCTCATGGTTAGGGAAAATTACATTATTTTTAATTTTTTTTTTTCTTTTTTAACAAGTAGGAATTTGGGTGTATGGTTGAGAGGCTAATCTACTTCTGTAACAGGCCGTAGAAGAAAACCAGTTGGATTTTATGGTAATAACTTGTACCCTTATTATTCTGGAGGCTTAAGTTTAAGCAAGTAGCCATCAGTATTTTAATTGAAAAATACTAAAGCCACATAACTGAGGAGGATGTCATGATACTTTCAACAAATTCCTTAATGCTGCCTAAGCATATGGATCTTTTAATTATTTGCTGGTTATAAACAGATATCTATTACACCAGAATTACTGATGGCAAAATTGTGTAACTTGTAAATATTTTTCATCAATGTGTTAAATATTATTTAAATCTTAAAATCATTTAAAGACTTAATGTTGCCACTGGGTGGCAGCCATGGCTTCTCTCATGGCAACAGAAGTGAACAAATATAATTAAGACAAATTTGCATTTCTATTGCATCTGCTTTTAAAACATTTTAGTTCGTATTCCATTATTTTTCTAGATCAGTACTCCTTTGTTTATTAAGGGTAATTATTAGTAGGTAAGTTTTTCATGGAAATGAAAATCATGTATACCTATCTTCTCTTTGCCATAAAATCAAATGCATATAAATTGAGGAAAACTGTTTAAATGGCTGTAGGATGACTAGGTAGTAAACATCATCTTAATTTTTAACATATATTTGATGATGCTTTCCTTTTATTCACTGTTATGTTTCTGGGTTTTTCCCAGTCTTATGAAAAAAAAATATGTTTGTAAAAAGAGAACAATTAACTACTTTGCATCACAGACATGAACTATTTATAGTAAACTCCACTGAGCTGATACTAATAGAGCAGACTTTTGAGAAAGTAGGAATGTAGCACTGGAAACAATGCATATTTCTGTTCCATAATTATGTTTATTGTAGCTATAGAGCTCCCAGATAACCCATGTGTACCAGTAATATCTATTAGTGTGCTCTTATTATGGTATAAAAACCTCACTGGAAGCTTATTTTCTACTTAAATATTTTACCAGTTTTTAAAAGTCTTAAACCAATGCTTACACCAGTGACTGTTTTTATAATGCTTGAAGTAATTTTAAGAACTGAAACAACCATAGAAAACATCTAAATAGGTAGATAGTAATAATAATACTTGTATTAGAAACCAAGTTTCCTGATTCCCAGTCTGGTGTCTATATCATGACACACTACCCTATGTATGCTCGGTTTTAGAGTAGGAGGAGAGTCCTGGGAAGAGCAATATTACAGAAGTTTTCTTCCACATGAGGAATATGCTTAATTGCAAATTTAAATACACGTAACAGATGTAACCCTGCCTAACCCACTTCTACAAATAACTTCTCCAAAATCTTGGAAGAAGGTCTTTTAGAACATTATATAAGCTTTATAACAAAAACCGTTGCCATTGTGTCCCTTATTTAGTCATAAATCCTTAGGATTTAGCTGAATATATACTCACACATGTATACTACACATATATCACTATACAGTTACCACATGCACCTTGCACTATTAGAGACAAATAATATCACTAAACAAAATAGGAAGGCTTAATGCCATCTATTGCCATTGCTAGAATAATTAAAAGGCCTCGCAGATGAGCAACTTGAGTTGTTAGAATAAGGTCGTTCTTGTAGAATATGGCCCCCTTATCTTTAGCAGTGCACATGGTGAAAAATTCAAACAGTAAAAGTATCCACCTTTGAAGTAAAAATACAGAGACGAATCTCTAAAACATTTTATTTGGGAAGCAAGAATTGCAATTCAGGGCATATACACAGAATGAGTAGTTTTTAGTATATCCAAAGAACAGAGAAAGTTGAGAGTTTTATTATAAAGAGAAATGTTACTTCCATTTTGAAAGAAAACTCTTTGGCTCTATAGAAGTTTTTGGGAGTTGGCAAGCTCTGATTGGTGTGTGACAGTGGTAGGTAAAACCAGTCTTAGAGCCACAGCACCTACTAGGTAAAACTGGTCTTAGGGTTTACAGCAGGCTCTTTAAGTAGCCAGACTTGTGAAAAACTGAGTTCTTGGAGCAGCTGCTATGTCCTCTGAGTGCTTTTCCCCCCAGCATTAACTGATTTGGTTGGGTATGACAAGAACCCTTATCCCCCTAGTTGAGATCTCCAGATGCAGTTTACTCTCCTATTTTTCCTGAAACATGGAAAGTTTTGGGTTTGGAATCTGGAAATCATCATATTTTCAGAAATACTCAGTTACATTGTCCAAATCAGTAAATTAGGAGTGTGGCATTACAGTACTCTCTTAAGTTTTCCGTTTTAATACTTAGCTAGAAGATGTTAAGGGGTCCTTTATAATCTTGCATTTATATAGATCTTTTAACTTTCCAAATGGCTTCACAATCAAGGTCACTTTTTTCTTGAAGAACATTTGATGCAGGATAGATGCTATCTTAATTTTATGTTTTGAACAGCACCCTTTTTTTTTTTTTGAGACGGAGTTTCGCTCTTGTTACCCAGGTTGGAGTGCAATGGCGCGATCTCGGCTCACCGCAACCTCCGCCTCCTGGGTTCAGGCAATTCTCCTGCCTCAGCCTCCTGAGTAGCTGGGATTACAGGCACGCACCACTATGCCCAGCTAATTTTTTGTATTTTTAGTAGAGACGGGGTTTCACCATGTTGACCAGGATGGTCTCGATCTCTTGACCTCGTGATCCACCCACCTCGGCCTCCCAAAGTGCTGGGATTACAGGCTTGAGCCACCGCGCCCGGCCGAACAGCACCCTTTTAAAAAAAGAATGCCAAATTACTGTTTCTGGAGAGAGACATTGTTAGAAGCATTGGCTTGCTACTCAGTTCTGGTAGGCTGGTTCTGTTAGTGTTTAGCAAGTTTTTGTGACTCAATTCTCTGCTATCTTTTAAACACTTGACAGACTGGCTTGATATGTATTTTCCACACCCTAATTTCTTGCTGTTACATGATCTAAACCAAATAATTCAGGAGCCGAAATGTTTATTTCTAGTTTACTAATGAGGTGCACCTTTTATCTGAAAGTATACAACAATTTGCTGAGACTTGTTTAATGAGTAGAACCTAAGTTGGACTTGGTGGGGTTTTGAACAGAGGAGGAGTTTCAGCTATCAGCCACCATGTTCACAGAGGGAAATGTTTTATAAATTAGTGTCTTTGAGTGTTTTCTGATGGGTTAAATTAGATTTCTGAGGTGGTTGCTTTGAACAAATTTCTGTGCTCAGATAATTGATATCTTAGACTATGAAGAAACTTTTCAGATAGATAGTCTTTGTGAAATTATTGAGACAAAAAGGTGAATTCCAGAATGGGACTGTTGTGTTGTCTATTTTAGGCTAAACACAGGAGTTGTTATTAAGTTGATATTTTTGAGTACTTATGAAGGAAAAGTAGTAATCCTTGAATAAGGATGGTTTCTCTTGGAGAAGTAATGTAAAACTTGATGTTCTATAGACTTAATAGACAAGGGGATGTTATAGAGAACAAATAAATCAGGGCATACGACAATGTCAAGAGGAAATTTTTTTTGAACTGTTAATCTCTCTGTATATGATTGTTTAAGTAGTTTTTGCAGATACTCATAATCAATTTATTCGACTCGGCTCACATATTTTGTTGCTGAGCTGAGACTGTTTAGTAATGGAAAAGAAAATGGAGAAAGTTTTCATAAATTTCATAAAATTTGTATTTTAGTGATGTAATACCTAATGGAGAAGAGCTCTGAATTAAAATATTAAAATAGAGCACGATGAGGGTTGAAGAGTGAGGGTGAGGGTGTTAATTAATATAGGCCAATAAAAAGAGGCCTCTGATAAAATTGACCTTTGAGCATACTGTGTGCTCCACTTAATAGAATCATTGATGACGAGGAGCAACCAGTGACTGAGTAAAATACAGCAACCAAAATCACTTGAAAATTATGTAGAGCGTCACTATTATAGAGCTTTGTTTCTGGTTTTCAGATTTTAAATGTGCCTAAAATGATATTTGTTTTATTGAAATGTGGAACGTTTAATTACGGAAGGCTATTCTG